AGGTTAACACTTGAGTTTTTTCCAAGTGTTCGTGTTTGCAGCTTCTACACTTACAGTGACGGAAAAAACTGTCCGGATGTTTGGCATTTATTAGGTTTTTTAGGCTTTTCGACCACGGTACATAAAGTCTTAATGTTTAATGGTGGTACGCTTTTGGAGGGGCACATAGTGGATGTGTTCATAGCACTTACGTCCATAGTAGTACACTGCATCTAACTTAGTGCCAAAATTTATACAAGGGGGTCATCCGGACAGTTTTTTCCCGCGACAAAGAGTAAACTTCCGAATAGGTTTCTAGTACCTAGAACACCGACCCTTGGCCTTGATCACCACCCGCACCCTCCTAGGCATGTTATCTACGAGGTTAGTGCAAACCGTTGCAGAGATCTTCTTGCACTCTTCCTGGACCCTCCCTTTTGCATAAGGGGGTGAGCAATGGGAAAACCGCGAGGGATTTGAGTGTCTGCAAGTTTTTTGTGCACGATTTCTGTTTGAATGTTATGTATGAGACTAGCCACACTGCAGTATGACCAAAGATGCCATTAGCCGATTAGTTCCATCTTATCATGGGTCGTCTTCGTCGTACCGCTGTAGGGTAAAACCACGAACAGAGCGGCAAAAAATAGTGTATATGCCATGAAACTGAGGGTGACGTAGCACGGTTGATTATTCATCATTGCACTATTAGAATTACGCTAGGATCAGCATGTCTCATCACGGTGCAGCAGTCGAAGAAGTTGCGACTGTTCGGGAAGAATATCCAGGTTGAGGTCTGGTGAAGAAAAGGGTCACTCCAGTGCAACATACTTATGCTCCCCAATGCTCTCCAATCCATTTGTATCGCATAGGCTTGGAATAGAATTGGAGAGCATCAGTTTGTAGCACTGGAGTGGCCCTTTTCTTCACCTGACCTCAACTTGGATATTCTTCCACAACAGTCGCAACTTCTTTGAATGCTACACCGTGATGAGACAAGCAGATCCTAGCGTGATTCTAATAGTGCAAGGATGAATAATCAACCGTGCTACGTCACCCTCAGTTTCATGGCATATACACTATTTTTTGCCGCTCTGTTCGTGGTTTTACCCTACAGCGGTACGACGAAGACGACCCATGATAAGATGGAACTAATCGGCTAATGGCATCTTTGGTCATACTGCAGTGTGGCTAGTCTCATACATAACATTCAAACAGAAATCGTGCACAAAAAACTTGCAGACACTCAAATCCCTCGCGGTTTTCCCATTGCTCACCCCCTTATGCAAAAGGGAGGGTCCAGGAAGAGTGCAAGAAGATCTCTGCAACGGTTTGCACTAACCTCGTAGATAACATGCCTAGGAGGGTGCGGGTGGTGATCAAGGCCAAGGGTCGGTGTTCTAGGTACTAGAAACCTATTCGGAAGTTTACGCTTTGTCGCGGGAAAAAACTGTCCGGATGACCCCCTTGTATAAATTTTGGCACTAAGTTAGATGCAGTGTACTACTATGGACGTAAGTGCTATGAACACATCCACTATGTGCCCCTCCAAAAGCGTACCACCATTAAACATTAAGACTTTATGTACCGTGGTCGAAAAGCCTAAAAAACCTAATAAATGCCAAACATCCGGACAGTTTTTTCCGTCACTGTAGTCTCCTGCACCACCTGTCAAATTATTACATGGTATGAGAGCTGTCTGGAATTAAGACTACTGACAACAATGACTGGAACACCACAAGCACAATCTTCTGGATCTAATTCCGGAACTACTGGAGTACCTGTCTCCTCGACTGCCACTGGTCTTTCAGCCTATGGACAGTTTCCACCGGCTTATTTGAACATTGGTATGCAGCAGCAACAGCAAAATCCTGTTATGCAGGTGACACACCCTGAAACAAGTTTTCCCATCGAACCTCCATTATGTCAATATATTTATATATTGTTATAGGCTAGATAGGTGCATGCTGATAGAGAGTACAACACCATAGAACACAACCTACCTGTATGCCTCATTCTAGTCATTGCGTTATTTTGAGATGGTATCACGCTAGCTCGGGTCCCCCTCCCCGCTTACGCTTCCGCCCCTAGCCCTAGCCCTAGCCCTAGCCCGTGTCCTAGCCGTGCCCTAGACCTAGCTGCGCCCGTGCCCTAGCCCTAGCCACGCCGCGCCGCGCCCGAGACGTGCCCGCGCCCTAGCCCTAGCCGCGCCCGAGCCACGCCCGTGCCCGTCCACAATCCACGTCCCTCCGCGCCAGCCCTGCTAGTCTTCGCCAGCCCCGCCACTTCGCGCCGACCCCGCATTTCGCGCCGGCCCCGCTAGTCCGCGCCGGCCCTGTCCCTCCATGCCGGCCCTGCTAGTCCGCACTGGCCCCTAGTTCCTAGCGCCCACCCTAGTCCATAGCTCGCTGCTGGCCCTTCGCGCGTCCCCCAAGCTCTCGCTCACTGGCCCCTAGCTCGCTGTTGGCCCTTCGCGTGCCACGCGAGCCCTCGCTCGCTGGCCCCTCGCTCGCCGCTGGCCCTTCACGCGCCGCGCGAGCCCTAGCCCGTTGGCCCCTAGCTCGCTCGCTGCCCCTCGTGCACTCGCTAGCCCTAGCTCGCCGTCCCTAGCTCGCCGGCCCCAGCTCGCCGACACTCGGTCGTCGGCCCACGCTCGTCGGCTCACGCTTGCTCGCCGCCCCCTAGCTCGCTGGCCCCAGCGCACAAGAGGTACGGTGAGACCACCAGTGGGAGGGGGGGGTTGGGCCAGGAAACAAGGGAGGAGACACAGGATGAGAACGAGGGGGGAAACGAGCCGGGGACGAGTCCGGCGGAGGAAACACAGGGCCGTAGACAGGCGGGGGAGGCAGCGGCGAGGGAGGCGTAGGCAGGCGGTCGGGGGAGGGAAGACCAAGGAGGCGAAGGGCGGACACCGGCGGACGCCAGAACCTCCAGCCGCACCGCGGCTACCTCCGGGACGCTCCACGAAAGCACCCCCAGAATGAGAGCCCTCTCCAACACCGGTGCCACCCCGAGGACCGCCGGGACAAGCCACGACAGTACCCCTAGGACTAGCACCCCCAGAATTAGCACCCCCAGAACGAGAACCCTCTCCAGCACCGTGCCGCCGTGTCACCGTGCCGCCGTGCCACCGTGCCGCTATGCCGTCATCAACTGCTGCAGCTATGGCGATGACGGACGCTGTGCTCCGCCTGGACACGCAGGGTCGGGCGATCGACTTTGTGGCATGGCTCGCTGACCTCCGCCGCTCGCTGAGGGGACAGCGCCAGAATGGCCAGTCTCTGACCATCCACATCGACGGTAAGATCCCCTGCACCGACCCGCCTGCTGCCCTCTCAGACCCCCCCACGCCCGGTGAGCGTGAGGCCTTTGCAGCTTCTGAGCTCGCCTGCTCTGCCTGGGAGTTGTGTGACGTAGTTGCGCAGCTTGCTATCAGCCGCGCCCTCCCCCTGTCTGAGCGACCCCGCTACCAGACCCTAGAGACTGCAAAGGAGTACTTAGATGCCGTAATTACGAGCTATTCCACTCCCTCCTCCGCCTCCGTCGACCATCTCCTTCTCCTCCTGCTCTTCCCTGACCTTGCGTCATTTCCCTGACCCTGCTCCTCCTGCTCTTCCCTGACTGTCGCTGATCTCGCCACTCACCTGCGCACGCTAGAGGCTAGCTACCGCGCTGCTAGCACTGAGGCTCAGCTCCTTGTACTGCCTCCCCCCCTTGGCGCTACCGTTTACTTCCTTGCTACGTGCCTTCCAGACCGCCTAGCAACTGCCCGCCACCACTTCCTTGGCCTCCAACCCGCTGACCTCACCCTTGCTGACTTTGTCACTACCCATCCGCGATAGAGACCCGCCAGTGCACTATCGCTCAGTCGATTGGTACTGCAACGGTTCCTATCTTCCACGGCTGTGCTCCTTCCCAGTGCACTTACTCTGACGTCTCTGCCGTTATTGCTGAGAGGGCCTCTGTTGCTGAGGCCGCTGCGGCGGCCTCAGCATAGTCTCGTTAGGTTAGGGGACGCCGGGCCGGTGGGGGGGGAGGGGGGAGGAGGCGTGGCGGCGGTGGTGGAGGGGATGGTGATGCAGACGAGGGAACCGGGGCTGGTGCCCCAGCTTAGCAACAGCTCCAGCAAAAGCAGCAGTCGCAGCAGCAGCAGTAGCAGCAGCAGCAACAGCAACAGCCGTGTGGACCCCCACCATCGTGGTGGCCTGGAGGCTCTGGTGGTGGTGGTAGTGGTAGTGGGTTGCGGACCCTAGCTCTGCCCGGTCAGAGCCCACCTAAACCCTAGCTCTGCCCCGGTCCTGTACGCTGACAACAGGGCCATGATCCTCGAGTGTTAGAAGCCTCGACTGGAGGGCATAGCGAAGCACATCCAGCTGCGGTACTTCCTCTTGCGCGAGCTACAACAGCAACGCCAGACCGGCGTAGTTCACTTGGCCTCCGATGCCAACACAGCTGATATCTTTGCTATGGCGCTTGCGCCTAAAGATCATCACGGCACTGTGTACAGCTTGGTCTAGTTCCAGTAGCTCCTCACTTGCTAGGACCTTGATTGTTTACTACTCTTTTATATATTCTCGTGACTGGCCTTGTGGCTTCTGTTCCAGTGGTTGGACTTGTAGTGCCACCCTGGTTTGCTCTTGTGTAGTTTGTACTCTTCTGATTGGTCTTCGGACCCTTGCCTCAGAGGTTGGACTAATAGTGCCACCCTGAGCTACGTGTCTCTTGCCAGGCACTGCCCCTTGTCTAACCTAGGGGATGTGTCAACATATTTATATATATATATATAGGCTATATAGGTGCATGCTCATAGAGAGTACAGCACCATAGCACAAAACATGTCTGTATGCCTCATTCTAGTCATTGCGTTAAATTGAGATATTCTACCTCGGGGCTTCCCACACCCGATCCTGCTTCGTGAACGACGGATAACCATTCGATGAACGGGATGGAAAACAATCGCGTCCGACAGATAGCTATTCGATAACGCACTAGGCCTGGGACTTGTACAGTTGGAAGTGAAAGTGCACTGCAATCGCCAATGCAGTATGTATGCATTGCCTTGATTTATATAAAAGGCAACCTATACCCATATTTGGGTTACAAGTTGGGCCATGCCTTGGCAAGAGATACCGTACGCAAATGCTCTTCTAAATGGTGGTGGTGCTCCTCATTATTCACTACCCATCTCCCCTTCCCTACTAACTTCATACACCCTTCATAGGGCTCTTAGCCCTTGCCTTCTCACCATTTCCCTGGTCCCCCTTCCCCTTTCCCTTCGATTTCTCCTTTTTCTTCTTCCCCTTCTCCTTGTCCTCCTTTTCCCGATCCCGCTCCTCCTTGTCACCACTCGCCTTAGCCGATTTGCTCTTGCTCAGCTTGGGGGTCTTGCCATATTCCATGAAGGGTAACTTCATTTTGGGTGACTTGAGAGTGGGCGACTTGAGAGTGGGTGACTTTAACGGAGGTGATCTAGGAGGGGTGGGCGAGCCCAGAGGAGGGGTGGCAAAAGGCGATGACCCAGTCGGTGACATCAGCGGCGACGTGGCATACGGCATGGCATGCGACGAGCTGGCACGCGGCGACGTGGCAAACGATGATAGGGCCTTCCAGATTCCGCTTGAAACCGTCGAAACAGGAGGCGACAGCTGGTCCTGCAGTCCCATGGTTACAACTCCGTGCTTTGGTAACCCTAGCTGCACCCATCCCCCACCGCCCACTCCGCCACTATCAGCCGTCCTAGGCCTGGGAGCCCTCCCCTGCTGATTCTCCTCTGCAGATTCCTCCACCTTCTTCCCCTTCCCGGTGCCTTTCTCTGTCCCCTCAGACCTTCGCTTGCTCAGAGTGCGAGCAGCTTTCCTCCCCTCCGCCTCTCTCACATTTGTCTTTCCCTCTGCTGGCTCCTGTCCCCCCTTGCTCCCTGGGCTTCTAGAGCTCGCGTGGCTGTGAAAGCTGTCATGGCCATGGGAGTTCACACGCCTGTGAGTGGCCTCATGCGCATGAGAAGCCTCACGCCCGTGGCTGCTGCTGCGAGTGGCTTTGCGCGTGCTGCTCTCCCCACCACCACCACCACCTGCAGCCTCGTTTCCGTCTCTCTTCACCCTGCTTAGAGTTCTGCTTGCCTTCTTCTCCCCATGCCCATCCCCCTCCATGTGCCCGCCTTCCCTTTTCACTCTGCTCAGTGTCCTGCTAGCTTTTTTCTCCTCAACTGCCGCAGTTTCCTTCTCCTCATGCTTCACTCTGCTTAACGACCTGCTTGCTTTCTTCTCTCCACCCTCCTCCACCCCATTCTCCTCTCCCTTCACTCTACTAAGCGTCCGGCTCGCTTTCCTCTCTACATCCTCCTCCTGCTCCTCCTTCCCTTCCCGCTTCATCCTACTCAATGTCCGACTCGCCTTCTTCTCCTCCTTAGCTCCGTGCTGCACTTCCTTAACTTCATGCTTCTTTGCCTCAACCTCTACCTCCGAATCCCCACTCCTCTCCACCTCCTCCCTTTTCATCTTGCTTAAAGACCTCTTCACCTTCCTGTCCTTCCCCTCCTCCTCCTCCCCCTCCTCCTCCTTCATCCCCTCTTCCGCTCTCTTTTTCCTGCTCAGAGTTCGGCTCATCTTCTTTTCTGCATCCTCCTCCACTTCCTCCCTCATCACCCCCGCGTCTCCTATCTTCTTCCTACTCAGCGTCCGGCTCATCTTCTTCACACTATCATCCTCCGACTCCCTCCCCTCTCTTTTAACTCGGCTCAGCGTCCTGCTTGCCTTCTTCTCACCCTCTTCCCCCACCGCTTTCCCCTCTCTCTTCATCCTGCTAAGCGTTCTGCTCACTTTCTTGTCGTCTCTGCTCTTCTCCTCTCCTCCACTCTCACATTCCGTCCCCTCCGCCCCCTCCTTCCCCCCCCTCCCCTCCTTCCCCTTTCCCTCCACTTTACTAAGCGTTCGGCTCGCCTTCCACTCGCCTCCCTCCACGCCCTCGTCCTTCCCTTCTGCCTTTACCTCACTCATCATCCGACTCATCCTCTTCTTCCCCCCCTCCTCCTTTGCCGCTTCGCTGCTCCCTGTTGCCACACCCCCCTTACCGTCCATCTCTCCCTCCTCCCCCTTCCTCCCCTCCTTACCCTTCTTGCTCATCGTTCGTTTCACCTTCGCTGCTACCCTCTCCTCTGCAGGCAAATCGCCCGCTTCAGCAGCAGCCTCTACAGCAGTAGCAGCAAAACCACTGCCAGAAGCAGCAGCAGCACTGGCATCCGCATCAGCAGCAGCAGCGACAGTGTGGTGAGCCTTACTCTTCTTCCCACCAGCGGCTTTCAGCAGCTTCCCCATCGACGAATCCAGCCCCTTCAATATCTTCCCAATGCCGCCCTTGCTCGACACACCACCCTTGCTCGACACACCGCCCTTGCTCAACACACCACCCTTCTTCTTGCTCGATACAACAGCCCCCTTCTCCCCTTCACCCCTCCCTTCGCCATTCCCTGCACCACCCCCCCACTCCTCTTCCTCCTCCTCCCTCCGCCCCTCCTCCTGCGCAGCAGCATGCGACGCGCTCATGCTCTGGGGGATTCGCATCCGCACGGGGGGGCTCCGAGTGCCACTAGAGTAATCTGCATACCTTCTGTTGCCCGTCGGAGAGCCACTAACTGAAACAGGTGAGGCACTGCTGCTGGCAACAGCGAACGCATGCGAGGCGCTCATGCTCTGCGGAATCATCCTTCGCACGGGGGGGCTCCGAGTGCCACTTGAGTCATCAAATGAGAGCCGTCGGCCTGAGGGGGAGAATGGAGCCACTGGGGCCACTGGGGATCCTGGCCTGCCAGTAGGGTCATCCACAGACGGCCTTCTCCTTGGACTGTGAGTAGGACCAGGCACAGGCGGGAGCCGAGGCGCATCAGCATGCCCCCGCCCCGGCGGATTTTGGAAGCCCACAGGTGAGACGCTCCTGCCGCTGTTGCTGCTGCTCTCAACAACAAACGCATGCGAGGCGCTCACGCTCTGGGGGATCATCCTTCGCACGGGGGGGCTCCGAGTACCGCTAGAATCGTCCACGGACCGTCGTTTGCTGCTGGGCGACGCTTGAAGCTTGACAGTGGGTTCGGCCACAGGTGGGCGTCCACCTGATGACGCTCCAATTCCAGCAGCACAACTATCTACAGAGGGCGATTCTTTAGGCGCCTCAGAAGGGGAGCTGTGTAGTGAGCGGGGTGTGGGAGACACGGACTGGGACTTGGGCACAGGGGCTCTGTGGTGGGGCTTGGTGCTGCCAGCGCCAGTGAGGGTAACTGGTGACTTGTTACCGGGTGACTTTCTGGCTCTACCAGACGAGATTGTACTTGCACTTGATTCTCCTGACTCTGCAGACGCGAGTGATGCTGCCGATGCTGCTGAAAATACCGACGCTGCTGATGCTACCGATGCTACCGATGCTACCGATGCTACAGATGCTACAGATGCCCGGGAGTCTGCCGATGCAGCTGATGCCACTGACGCTCCCCTGTGCAAGTGCTTCTTGGTACTCCGCTTCTTTTGCCCCTCCTTCACTTCACTGTCACTGCCTTCCGCCTCGCCAATAGCCGGTAGATGAACGGCTTTCTTCTTCCCCTTCCCTGCCTTCTTCCCTGCAGCAGCGATGGCATCATTACTCACACCACCAGCACCCGGGCCACCAATAGTATCACCGGAAACGCTAACACCAGCAGCAGTGCCCGCACTAGCAGCAGCAGCAGCAGCAGCAGCGGTTCCTTGTTTGAGGGGCTTCTTAGGGGTCACAGGGGACAGCAGGGCGAAGCTGAAGGAACCAGCAGGGGAGGCGGGCGAGGAGGCGTTGCTGTGAGGCGTGCTGGTGGCGCTGGTGGGGGACAAGGGCGCAGCAGGGATGGAGAGGTGCTGGGGCGTTGCTACCAGCTCTCCTGTCGGCAGCGAGTGACGAATTGTCACGTTTGGTAGCAGCTGCACCTCTTGCTGCTGCTGCTGCTGCTGCTCCTGCTGCTGCTGCTGCTGCTCCTGCTGATCCTGTCCCTTCCCTTGCTGCCGCTGCTCCTGCTGGTGAGTGTGATGTGCCTCTTTACCCTGACTCTTGTGCGCTTTCCTGTGGGTGTGGCCCTTCCTTCCCTTTACCCCTGCATCAGAATCAGGAGCGTCCTCCCCATCTCTTGACTCCTGCCGGTGAATCTTCCTGGAAGGAGCCTTAAGCAGCGCCTTCTTCTCGCCTTTCTTCCCCTTGGCCTTCACCCTCTTCCCTGCAACGCCGCCACTCTCCTCCACACCCCCTTTGCCCACACTCCATTCCTCCACACTCCCTTTGCCCACACTCCCTTCCTCCACACCCCCCTTGCCTACACTCCCTTCTTCCACACTCCCTCCCTCCACACTCCCATCTTCCACACTCCTCTGCTCCCCAGCACCTTCCTGCAAAGTCCCGTCCTTAGTTTCCCCTGATCCTGTGGCTGCGTCTGATCCTCTCCTGCCAGACAGCTCGTGTGTTCGCTCCAGCACTGGCTGCTCTGCCTCTCCTGCTAAATCTGCTGCCCCTACTGCGCCCTCACTTATCACCACATCCCCTGCCGCCACTGCTGCTGCAACCGCCGACCCAATTCGGCATTTTGTCGTGGCAGGTGCATCTGAAGCAGGTGCATCCGAAGCAGGTGCATCCGAAGCAGGAACAACTGGAGCAGGTGCATCCAGTGCAGGTGCATCCAAAGAAGATGCATCCAAAGCAGGTGCATCCGACGAAGCAGGTACATCCGAAGCAGGTGCATCTGAAGCAGGTGCATCTGGAGCAGGTGCATCTGAAGCAGGTGCATCCAACGCAGGTGCATCCAAACAAGATGCATCCGAAGCAGGTGCATCCGAAGCAGGTACATTCGAAGCAGGTACATTCGAAGCAGGTGCATCTGGAGCAGGTGCATCTGAAGCAGATGCATTCAAAGCAGGTGCATCCGAAGCGGGTGCATCTGAAGCAGGTGCATCCGAAGCAGGTGCAGCTGATACATCTGGGTCAGGTACATCTGGGGCAGTCACAGCAGCAGTTGGTACAACTAAGAACGATGATTCAATAATCCCTATTTCGGCTACTGCTGCTGCTTCCTCCTCAACCTCCTCTGCTGCTGCAACTCCGCCTGCTTCCCCAACTGCGTCTGCTTCTCCTGTAGTTTCGGCTGTTTCCGCCACTACTGCGATTTCCCCAACAGCTTCTGTTACTCCTGCTCGTTCTGCTCCTTCTGCTCTTTCTTCTTCTTCCGCTGCTTCTGCCTCTTCTGTTTCTTCTGCTGTTTCTGCTGCTCCTGATGCTTCTGCCATTGCTGCTGCTCCTCCAACTGCTACCACTGCTGCTTCAGCCACCGCTGGAGCTGCAAATAGACTGGAATGAGCACTGTAATCGATCCCCACCATCCCTTCTCTCCTCTCCTCCCCTCCTCCCTCCTTCCCCTCTTTCCCAACCTCCCTCTCCTCACCCTCTCTCTCCTCCTCCCCTCTACTCTCCCCAGGCCCCTCCAACTCCTCCCCCTCCCTAACACTTTCCTCCTCAGCCTCCTCACCCTCTTCCCTCTCCTTTCCATCCTCCATCCCTCTCCTCCCATCAACCCCCTTCTCCTCCTCCACCTTTCCACCTTCTGCTGCTTCTGCTGTTTCTTCTGCTTCTGCTGCTTCTGCTGTGTCTGCCGCATCTGTTTCTCTTGCTTCTGCTCCTGCTGCTTCTGCCCCTGCTGCTTCTGCTGCTTCCGGCATGGTTGCTGCTCCCCCAACTGCTTTTACTAGTGCCTCAGCTACCACTGCTGCATCTGTCCCCAACATCACTTCCTTCCTCTCTTCCCCTCCTTGTCTTTCCTCCCCCCCCTCCCCCTCCTCTCCCTCCTCCCCCCTTTTTCTCTCCCTGGTCCCCTCCAACTCCTCCCCGTCCATTACAACTTCCCCCACAGTCTCCCCACCCTCTTCCAACTGCTTCCCCTCCTCCATCCCTCTTCTCCCATCCACCCCTCTCTCCTCCACCTTCCCACCCTTCTCTGACTCTCCTTCCTGCAACCTTTCAGATTCCCAAAAGCACTTCCCCCCCTCCTCTGTCTCTCTCCCCCCTTCCTCTGTGTCTCTCCTCCCCTCCTCCGTCTCTCTCCCCTCCTCCGTCTCTCCCCCCCCCTCCTCTTTATCTCTCCCTCCCTCCTCTGTCTCTCTCCGCCCCACCTCCCCGTCACTCTTAGTTGCTTCCATCTCCCCTCCTTTCATCCCTGTTCTCTCCTCTACCTCTCCTCGTTCCCCCACCTCTCTCCCCCCCTCATTTTCCTCTCTCCTCCCCTCACTCGCCTCTCTCCCCTCCTTGCTCACCTCTCTCCCCTCCTCCCTCGCCTCTCTCCCCTCCTCCCTCGCCTCTCTCCCCTCCTCCCTCGCCTCTCTCCCCTCCTCCCTCGCCTCTCTCCCCTCCTCCCTCGCCTCTCTCCCCTCCTCCCTCGCCTCTCTCCCCTCCTCCCTCGCCTCTCTCCCCTCCTCCCTCGCCTCTCTCCCCTCCTCCCTCGCCTCTCTCCCCTCCTCCCTCACCTCCCTCTCCCCCGCACTCACCTCTCTCTCCTCCTCACTCACCTCCCCTCCCTCCTCCAACTCCTCTTCATTGACGGACGCTAGATCGGAGCCGAAAGAAGATCTCGACCCTCCATCTCTCCTCCTGCTGCTGAGCTTCTTCAGAGCACCCCATGGACCCAATGCTCTCGCCGAACCTTCCCCCGAACCTCCCTCTTCCAAGCCTCTCCCCGAACCTTCCTCTTCCCCTTCTCGTGTAGCCCGAAAGACAAGCGGATTACGCGAGGACTCACCTGAAGTTTCACCTGAATCTTCACATGCATCATCAAGAATCAGCTCCTCCTCCTCCTCCTCCTCCTCGTAGCCACCCCACCAGAGCGCATCACTGCTGCCCCGACCCACATCCTCGTCATTGCCATTCTCGTTAACATCACCCTCATTAACGTCACTCTCATCCTCATCCTCGCTATAGTCATCATCACCATCGGCATCGTATTCCCGCATAAGCTTCGGGAGGCCAGCAGCGCCAAGCACCACCTCCCCCGAGTGAGACCTCCCGAGATTTTGAAGCGCCTCAGAGCCAGTTGCCACCTCGCCTCTCACACCCCTCTGGTCTGCACTCTTACTTCGGGCCACCCTCGTCCCCTCACTGCCTTTTGTAACGCGGCCCCTTGTAACGAGTACGGCCTCTTCAGCAGCACCTGCAGATTTCTGCCGGAAAATGCTGGGCGGATTGTGGAAAACCCTGGGAGATTTGGGGCTAGTTGCCCTGAAGGTTTCCATTCTCGGGATACCCCTGCTGCTCAGCCCCATGACTGTCCCCTTCACCCTCCCCAGGGTCTGCTTAAACACATTCCCTCCTCCCTCTCCTCTTCCCTCTCCAACTACCTCTCCTCCTATTCCTCCTCTCGCTCTTCCTCCTCCTCCTTCACCTTCCCTAACCCCGTTATGATCACCAGCGCCCATAGTCACACCTCGTGGAAGAGCCATGCTGTGTGACCTTATCCCTGACGCTGCTGCTGCTGCTGCTGACGCTACATTCCTCGCCCCTCCCCTTATCCCTCCAATCCCCCCTGCTGCAGCTGTCGCCACGTTCCTCATCCCGGCTGTTGCCCCTCCCTTGATCCCCCCCGCCACAGTTAAAGCCCCCGTGGCGATTCCTCCTGCTGCTGCTGCCAGTGCTTGCCGTATTTTCAACTTCCTCCTCTCCTCCTCCTCCTCGCTCCCTGTACCAGGCAGCACCCAGAGCAACATCATTGCCTCTTCCCTTGCTGTTAAACCCTCCACCTCCTTTTCTCCCTCCTCCTCCCCATCCTCCTCCCCATCCTCCTCCTCATCCTCCTCTTTCTCACTCTCCATCCCACTCTGGTCACTTGCCTTATCACTCTCATCTCTCTCTGCTCTGCCCTCCCTCTCCTCCTCCTCCCCATCCCCACCCTCCTCCTCTCCTATACTTCTCTCACTGTGGTGGGTGCTTCCCACACTCCGCTTGCTGCCGAAACTGCCATCTTGAGACGGGCGGCGGCGGGTGGCATATAGCCGAGAAAGCGATCGCAATCTGGGAGCAGCAGTGGTGGCTGGGGTAGCAGCAGCCCTAGAACCCACAGCATCACTTGCGCTAGCAGCAGCAGCAGCAGCAGCAACAGCAGCAGTGGCGGCAGCATCACCAGCAGCAGCATAACTACCAACAGGAGACTCAACAGAATCTGAACTCAGCCCCACAGCAGCAGGACCCTTCATCTCATTCTCTTCTCCATCTCGCCCATCTACCTCCCCCCAATCACAAGCCCTCTGCACCTCTCCTCCCTGCTTCTCTAAGAGCATCTGCCTCCTTACCTCTTCCTCCCTCTCCTGCACTGCAAGCTGCAGCATCAACTGTTCCCGCACCAGCCTACTCCGCTCACTCTCTCCCTCTCCCCTCTCCTCTCGCTCTCCCCCTCCCCTTCCCTCTTCCTCTCCCCTTCCTTCTTCTACACATTCACCCATCTCACCCAACGGACCCCCCCTTCCCACTACATCCTCTTCCCTTCCACTCCTCCCTCCCTTGCCCTCCCCGTGTTCCCCACCCTTCTGATCCTCCTCTGCAACTTTCTCCTCCTCCTCTGGCCTCAGAATCAGCCCTCTAATAGACAGCTCCCTCCGCTCAACCCACGACAACCCTGTAGCCTTGGCCCTAAGCAGGTCAGCACGGGCAGGCAGTGAGGGGTTCGGAGGGGGCCCAGGTTCAAAGAGGAACCGGAGCAGAGGAGGGAGCAACTGAGAGGGGAGACGAGGGTTGGAGCCTGCGGGTGGTGCGGAGACTGTTGCAGAGGAGAGATGAGAAGAGGAGGGGGACTTAAAACCAGCACGTGTGGTATGGGAGTGAGAATGGCGAACGTGCCTGCTGCTGCTGCTGCGCCTCAGTTGGCCCATGGGGATGCCATCTGAGGGAATAGCTGGTGATGAGTGATCAGAGAAGAGCTCTGAACGCCCTCTGTTCAGAGTTACATGAGCACTCGCGCTGCCGTTAAGCCCTGGTTGCACTTGCTGCTGCTGCTGCTGCTGCTGCTCCTCCCTCCCCTGCTGCATCTGCTCCTTGTCCTGCAGGGATGCCTTTCCTCTCACTCTCTCCGCCCATTCCTGCCACCGCTCCCTGGGGTGCTTTCTATGGGGCAGCGAGGCAGTGGAAGCAGCAGTGGCAGCGGTAGCAACGGAGGTAGAGGGTTTAAGAGACGCCAGGCAGCGGATTCTGGCAATTTCCCGCTTAAACTGGGGATAGGAGGAGGTCAGGTCAACAGCACGGTGCTGGGCGGAGGGGGGAGCAGCGTGGGAAGAGGAGGAGAGGGAGGAGGACGGCTGAAGTGATACCCCTGAGGAGGAGGACGGAACTAAGTCACGCTGCGAACGAGAGCTGAGCTTCTGCAATCTGTGCTTCTGTTGCCCCTGCTGCTGCCCCTGCTGCTGCTGTGATTGCATGTTTTCTACTGGCTGCTGCTGTGCTGGAGAATCATCGCCGGATGTGGCAGCTTCGAATGCAGCCCCAGAGGACTTGGAGCGACTGAGGCGGGGCGATGCTTCGAGCAGGGGAGACGTTGGTGCACTGGTAGATCCAGCAGCAACGCCATCCGCAGCAGCAGAAGCAGCAGCACCGTCAGCAACAATAATAGCACCGGGAGCACCATTAGCAGCAGCATCAATAGCAGCAGCAGCATTATTAGCAGCAGCATCACTTGCAGCCATGAGCTGGGCGCTATCCTGTTGAAACTGGCTGCTGCTATTTCCGTTGCTGCTGCTGCTTTTACGGAGCCTATTAGGGCTGCTCTTATGCAGCCAACAAGGGCTGCCAGTGTGGCCTGGAGGATTGCTGTTCCTGCGGCTGTTGCTCCTGCTGTTGCTGCTGGTAACGCGGCGAATGCTGGTGGCTGGAGGCTCTTGAAAGAGAAAGCGGTGGGGGATTAGAGAGCTGCCAGAGGATGCTGAAGCACCTGAGAAAGCACCTGAGAAAGCATCTCCACCAACAAGTAAAGCAGTATCTGCGGCAGCATGAAGAGAAGGGACGGATCCAGCTGACATGCAATGCCTAGGGTGCACTGCTGTCCGGCCCAAGCCACGACTCCGGAGCCGCCTTTGCTGCTGCTGGTCTTCCTCGAAATGCCGGTTTGCTGCTGCTGATGTTTCACCTTCACCCCCACGCCCCAACACCTCAAGGCCACCACCCCTTTGCTCCTTTTGCTGCTGCTGCTCCAGCTGCTGCTTCTCCAGCTGCTGCTGCTCCAGAAACACTTCATGCAGCCGCTTCCTCGAACCCAGGCGACCGTTTGAAACAGAACTGCTGGACACGAAATCGGATGCGGAGCGCTCAACCGAAGCAAGCAATGAGGAGGATAAAGACGAGGCAACACCCCTACCCTCGGACTTGGCCCTTAGCATCACCCGCTGCTGCTGCTGCTGCTGCTGCTGCTGCTGCTGCTGTCCCTCGTCCCCTAGGGACTTAGACACACGCAGCATCACGCCCTCACCCACTCCCGCCGCTGTGCCCTCATCCAACCCTGTGCTCGTGCCCTCATCACCCACTCCCACTCCCATGCCTTCATCTGCCCCCACCTGATGGTGTCGACCTAACATTGTTCTGATGCGCTTGGATAGCGGCACCTGGTAAGCCGCCACTGCCCGCCTGCCCTGCTTGCTGCGAACAGCACCCACTGGGGCAGCCATAGCTTCCCGGCTGCTGTATGGGGTCAGCGTTGCTCTGCTGGTTTCAGCGAAAGTGCTGGTTACTGCAAAACTGCTGGTTACCGCAACACTGCTGCTGCTGACTGCATGCGGCACTGCTGCATTACCCGCAGCAGGAGCATCCCCTCCCATGCTGCTGCTAGAAAAGGCTGCTGCCACAGCACTGCTGGATACTGCCCAGAGAACCAACCCCGTGTCTGTGCTTGCAAGGGTATCAGTCACAGTCACACCCAAACTCGTCACATAGCGCGGGTCGTCCTTCCCAAACACAATGTCCGCCACACTTACCATCTCCCCCCCTTCCACCCCCACCTCCTCCCCTTCCACTTCCCCAAGCGCCCCTTCCTCCCCCTTCTCCTTCGTCTCATACCCCATCTCACCCTCTCGCTCCAGCCCACCCTCCTCCTCCTCCTCCTTCTCCTCCTCCTCTTCCACCTCTTCTCCCACCCCTTCACATCTTCCCTCACCATTTTCTCCTCCCTCCACCTCTCCCCTCGCCTCCCATCCACTCCCCGCCTCCTCATTCCACTCCATCCCCTCATTCCCCTCCATCCCCTCATTCCCCCTCCCTCCATCCCCTCATTCCCCTCCATCCCTGCCACGTACCTCTCAACAAAAGACGCATTGTGCCCAAACGTCTCTGTCCTCGGCGCCTGCTTGCAGCAGTTCCCCACATTCCCACCCAGCAATGCCATACTGCCACTCAGACTCGACCCCCCCGGCCCTCTAGCCATATTCTCTACCCTAGACCCTATCCCCGATGCTGCGGCTGCTGCCGCTGTAGCAACGTTCCTCGCCCCTCCCTTGATCCCTCCTGCCACATTCATTGCTCCCGATGCTATCCCCCCCGCTGCAGCAGTAGCCACACTCTTTGCCCCCCCTGCTGCTGCCGAAGCTACATTCTTAGCTCCTCCAGCTGCCGCCGAGGCTACATTCTTAGCTCCGGACCGAACCCCTGCCGCAGCTGCGGCAACGGTCCGGGCCCCGGACGTGATCCCAGCCGCAGCTTCGGCAGCAGCCCCGGCTATAGCAAGACCCGAAGCATTCAGACGGCGCGAGTGAGGGCCTTTCATCCTCCCCTTACCGTTCTCCCCTCCGTCTCCCCCTTCCTCCCCCTCCACCTCCCAGAGAGCTAAGAGGGCATCCTCAGGGGACAGAGGAGCGCTGTCGGGACTGGGAAACATCTCGTCAAAACTGGAATGGGTAAATTCCCCTGATAGTCTGGCAGAACGCCCCTTGGGAGCGTGACGGGCGCCTAAGTTTCCCAAGAGGCCTCCCCCCATAACGCTGCTGCTGCTGGGAAACGACGCGCCAGTGGCAGAGGAGTCTCTTCGTGTCATGGTGGTAGCCGCGGTTGTGTCACTTCGTCTCACCGCAGTAACAGCCGTTGTGTCGCTTCGTGTCATCGCAACAGCTGTTGAATCAGCTCTGGCCATAAGCGAAGCCGTGGTTGCACTCCTAGCCACCAGAGCAGCGCTCCCTCTCACCAGCAGGTTGCCTCTGGACTCCTTACGAGGGAGTGAGGCTGCCCTCCTGGAATCCCCTCTATTGAGAGACCCGCTATTACCAAGATCACCTGAGAAATCTACACTGAAAAAATCAGGGTTAAACAAGTCTGTATGGGCCGGGCTGGAGTGAAAAGAGGCTGCATCGAAAGAGCACCTCGGGAGCGAGTCCGCGCCGAACGAACCTTCCAGGAAAGACTCCGCATCGAAGGAACCTTCTGTGAAGGTGCGGGGCGTGTCTCGCTCCTTCCCGCTGCTCCTACTCCTACCGAGGCTCGCTGGGAGAACCGGACTGCTGCTGACACTGCTGCTTCGGCTGCTGTGAGCTGGGGCCCTGATGGTGCTGCTGTCGTGGGTCTTACTCCTAGTAACGGTGCTGCTCTTAAGGAAACTCGGGCTGGGTCGGATCACGCTAGTGGCTGCATCCGTGCTCTTGCTCTTACTCAAGCTGTTACTCCGTAACCCTTCCTCCTCCTGACCGCCATACTCCTCGTTTTCCTCAACGCTATGCACCCTTTGCAGCTTGGTAGTGCCTGCAGCCACCTCAGCCACCGCCTCGTCTGCTCGATGCTTGATTTCAGCAGCCACTTCTCGAATCCCTCCTGCTGCGGCCGTTGCCGCTGCTACTGCGGTTCCTGCCACATTCATTGCCCCTTCCTTGATCCCCCCCGCTGCTGCAGCAGCCACGCTCTGAGCCCCTCCTGCCACAGTCAACGCGCCTTCTCTCACCCCCCCTGCCACTGTCAACGCGCCTTCTCTCACCCCTCCTGCTACCGATATCGCCCCCTCCCTCACCCCCCCTGCCACTGTCAGCGCTCCCTCTTTCACCCCCCCGCTACTGTCACAGCTCCCTCCCTTACTCCCCCTGCCACAGTTAATGCACCTTCTCTCAACCCTCCAGCAACAGTCATGGCCCCTTCCCTCACTCCTCCAGCTACCGTAAACACTCCTCCTCTCACCCCTCCTGCTACCGTCAACGCCCCATCTTTCACCCCTCCAGCAACACTTTTCACACCACCAGTAACAGTCTTCACTCCTCCCTTAATACCCCCAGCAACATTCCTCGCCCCGCCCTTTATGCCTCCAGCAACGTTCTTTGCCCCTCCCTTAATCCCGCCAGCAACAGTCAGCGCACCTGTTGCCACCCCCCCTGCGGCCACAGCAGCAAAGTTCTTCGCCCCCTGCCCCGCCTCCCCTGCTGCAGCAGCCACGTTCCTAGCAGCAGCGCCAGGAATGCTGGTAACTGCAGCAACGTTGCGCGCGCCTGAGCTGATCCCAGCCGCTGCTTTGGCAGCTGCTGACGAGATCCCCCCCCTTGCTCCCTTGACAGCAGCAAAAGACCTCACTCTGAGCCCAGAAATGCTCCTGGTGCTGCTGCTGCTGGTGCCGGTGCTGGTTATGGCAGCGGCCCCTTCACTGGTAGCATCTGCTGCAGTATGGTCCTCTGGCCTCTCTGCTTCTCCTGCTCCTCCCGGCTGCTGGCTGTCCGTTCCCCCATGCGCACCAGCCTTGCCTCCAAGAAACAGCTTGCTTCTGCTCCTCAAACCCTGAAACAAACCCCCGCTGCTCTTGCTCCTCCAGCTGCTGCTCTTGCTCGTGCTCTGATTCTCCCCCCTCCCCCCATCCCCCATGCTGTCCGTTTGGGGTTCCTCTACGTCTTCTTCCTCTGCCGCTACCTCCACTGCCTCTCTGCCAGCATGCAGTGATGAAGTACCAGGAGGGTCGCCATCCTCAAATACCCCCTCTCTACCACATACGCCCTCTCTACCACCTACCTCCACCCCCACCACTTCCTCAACCACTTCCCTTTCCTCCTCTTCCTCCTCTTCCTCCTCCTCCTCCTCCTCTTCCTCCTCCTCCTCCTCTTCCTCCTCCTCATCCTCCTCTGTCTCCATCTCCCCATCCCAGTGCTCTGGCCCCACTAAAATCTCCTCCTCTGCATCCTTAGCCTCCTCCTCCCCCGCCTCCTCTTCCTCTTCCTCCTCGTCCTCCTGCCCCCCCTCCCACGCCTCCACTCGCCTTTCCTCCCCTCCTCTCCCTCCTCCCCTCCCAGAAGCCCCAACCCTCCCTCACCACCCTCCACTCCCTCCACTCCCACCACTCCCACCACTTCCACCACATCAGCCATTACGACGCAACTCTCCCCACTGTCACTCCCTTCGCCATCATCATCATCATCAGCTCCTCCCAACCGCGATTCAATGGCCCCCAAACCAGCATCCCCGCCACCTCCGAACCACTGCTCCTCGTGTAATGCATCCTTCTCTACTCCGTCCGCCATCTCAAACCCACCGTCCATCTCAACGTCCCCCTCCTGCCGGTGCTCCGATTCTTCCTCTGCTTCCCTGCTTCTCTCCTCCCACTGCCCCGGAACCATGGGGCCATACACAGGCGTAGCAATAGGGGCTGCATCATCGCTGGGAGAGAGAAGGTCCCTCTCACTCTCCCCTGCTTGCTCTGCTGCCGGTATTCTCAATCCTTCTCCTCCCCATCCCCCTGGCCCATCAAAACTCCGGGCCCCTACCAAATGTCCACCAATCTCTCCCATTCCAACATGTACTGCCACGTCAGCTGTCATCAGCCCGGCAGTGCCATCTAAACCTACGTCAGAATCCGTCAAGACGTCATCAGAGTCAGTCAGCAGTCTGTCAGTCAAGCGCTCAGCTCTTGAACAAACCCCCTGTTGTGATCTAGGCCCAACTCGAGACAGCGGGCTTGGGAGATGGTCAATGCTCATTCTAGCCGTCCTAATCCGCTTTTCCCCCCATGCTCTGTCTGCTCCGGATGCTGCGCTTGACCCCTCGTCTCCTGCCTCGTGCCTTCTCAGAAAAGCAGCCTCAGGAGATCCACTGCTCAAATTAGCGCCTCCAACTGATCCCTCCCACCCATCTGTTACGTCAGCTGGCCATCGTTCTCCCGGCAGTTGTGTCAATGCTGCTCCCGGCAGTTGTGTCAATCGTTCTCCCGGCAGTTGTGTCAATCGTTCTCCCGGCAGTTGTGTCAATCCTGCTCCCGGCAGTTGTGCCAATTGTCCTGCCTGTCGTGCCTGCAGCTCCTGCGCCTGTTCCTCAACCCCCCACCTGCTCGCTGCTGCTGGATCATCGAGGGAAAGCTGCAGGGACTGAGAGGCGCGGTGCCGCCCTCTCAAACCACCTGCATCCGCGTGCCACTGCTGCTGTCGCCACTGATGCTGCTGCTGCTGCTGCTGCTGATCCTGCAGCTGCGGTCGCTGCCAGGGATGCTGGTCATGCAGCTGCCCAACTGGGGAAGACGAGCATCGGCTGAAGGCACGCACACTGCTCTGACTGCGCCTGTGGCTTGCACCTTTTTCCGACTGACCACTCCCGCTCTCAGACCCATGCCGCTGTAGTTGCCGTCGTCCCGCATGCTGCTGATGCTGCTGCTGCTGCTGCTGCTCCTGCTGCTGCTCCTGCTGCTGCTGCGGCGGCGGCGGCGGCGATTTCCACTCCAAATGCTGCAGCTTTTGCTGATGCGGCTGGCCTAGTGGCTGGTCCACGTAGCCTCTGGGGTCAAGTGCGCTGCTCTGACTGCGCCTGTGGCTGCCACTCTTTACCGACTGACTGCTCTTGCTCTCAGTCTCGAACCCATGCTGCTGTAGCTGATGTCGTCCCGGATGCTGCTGCTGCTGCTGTTGCTGATGTCGATAACCTAGTGACTGATCCAAGTAGCCTCTGGAGACGAGTGCGCTGCTCTGACTGCGGCTGTGCCTTGCACTCACTACTGACTGGGCGTTCTCGGTCTCATTCCCAGACCCATGCTGCTGTTGCTGCTGCTGCTGCCCAAAATGCTGCTGCTGCTGCTGCTGCTGCTGCTGCTGACCTTGTGACTCATCCAAGTGACGCCTGACAACATGCGCACTGCTCTGACTGCGCCTGTGAGCTCCACTCTTTACTGGCCGACTGCTCTCGCTCTGACTCTCAAACCCATGCTGCTGCCGGCCCGGACGCTGCTGCTGCCGCTGCTGCTGCTCTGTCAGCTGTTGCTGCGGCTGTCTTGTTCCGTCAGTCAGGCTTTGGCTCGAGACGTGCGTGCTGCTCTGACTGCGCGTGTGGAGGGAACTTCTAACTGACCGACTGCTCTCGCTCTCACTCCCACACTCATGAGAACTGCACTGAAGCGGCTGCTGCCGCTGCTGCTGTTGCTGCTGCTGCCGAAGCTCTAGGTGCTGCTGCTGCCCCAACGATTGCATGCGAGCAGCACCAGCGCCACCACTAGCGCGAGTTGAGGCACCAGCAGCAGCAGTAGCAGCACCAGCACCCGCACTACCACCAGCAGCTACTTTCGCGGATTCCGAGCGGTTAAACCTAGAAAACGGTGAGAGAGCCGACTCTCTGGGCGTGTGGGAAGGAAGCGGGGGTCTGGGAGAGGGGAGCGAGACCTTGGAGTGCGCGGTAGTGGTGCTAGAGCGGGCAAAGAGAGACGTGGGAGGAGGGTAGACACCTGTCGGTGTGAGTTGAGTCGACTCAGAGTAGTCCCTGGAGTGCGTGGTGGTAGTGGTGCTGGAGCGGGCAAAGAGAGACGCGGGAGGAGGGTAGGCGCCTGAAGGTGTTGATGAAGTTGCGGGTGAGAGATCAGCTATGGGCTTGACGATGGGTTGATGATGAAAGGATTTTGTGCGCCGGTGGATGTTAGGGTTTGACGCCGATGGATCAGAACGTGAGTTGACGCTAGCACGTCTCGCTACAGGAGCGACCTTCTCACCGTCGCCAGCCCAGGACACGCCTTCACTAGAGTCAGTTTCCTTAGAAGCACTTCGACTAAATTCCCCCCTCTTAAACTCCATCCACGCGCTAGGGTTCTTCCGCCATTGATCCGCTGCGGAACGTGACGAATCGTGCCCGTCCATCGGGGCTGCATCGACGGTCGTGAGAGCTCCGCCTAATCCGTCTGACCGTGCTGCACCGGATAAGGCTCGATTCAGTGAGGTTCCGCCCCAGCGCTCCACCACTTCTATCTCCGTTATAGGCCTGCACAGAACAACGCTTAAGTCGACGCTACGAGTCCGGCTGTGAGCCATTCTAGAACCACTTACCTTCCCGGAGTTGTCCCCAATTCGACCGCTCGAGCTCTGAATATGACTAGATCCCGTCATCCCCTTCGGAGCACCTTCCGCTGGGAAATGAATACTATCCGTTGCTCGGTCAGCTGCCTGTCCGTTTCGCTGGCTGCGACGCTGACTCGTGTCGTCAGCAGTATCCCTATCATGAATTCCCGCTGGCAGCGTTTCATCGACCATGCTATTCCGGTCAGTAATTCGCTGATAAGTCGCACGCTTTTTCGCGTTTGAATCG